TGAGGCTTATAAACGTAATCTGCTGAGCGGAGCTGACAAATATCACTACAACAAACGGGAAGATTGATTATCACCTTAGCTGAGGATTCTGAGGGGAAAAAGCCAGAAGGAGAAACAAGCTTAGCTACGGGTGGCCAGGGTATGTCTAGTTCGGTCACCTCACCAACACTGCTACTATCATTATCGACATTACTTTTACTAGATACGTTTTCTGTGCAATCCGAGAGCATAAGAATCAAAGCGCGTGTCCGATTCTGTTCAGCAATGAAGTTGACTGGATCAATGCTAACAGGCTTAGGAGGCTCCAAGCAGAAGCGAGCCTTTGCTGTCAATCGGCCATCACCAGCAGAAGTATATGGGCCAATATTATCATTGATGGGTTCTAAAGAAACACTGGGTGCAAGTGAAGAGGCAATCGAAGAGCAAGCATTGTGATGGTCAGCAGTTGACTGAGTGGCCCCAACCTTTTGAATACTAGGGTGATGGTATTCAAAATCAGAAGGACAATGAGAGGGTGTGGAAGACGAGGATAGAGAGAAAGAAAATTGCAGATCGAATGAAACCGAGGAGCTGGAGGCAAGCATTTCCGGCACAGTGGCGAAATAGAGCTGCATAGCTTTGCGTTTCCGACACAATTCAACGGCCTCTTCGTAGGCTACCAAAGGCGCCTGATCAGGGCCCCAAAATGCTGAGTCGGACAGATCGCTATCTTTGGGAGGGGCGGTTAGGAAGGCGAATTGTGGTGGGCATTTTCGCAACTGACGACGATGTTGCTCTTTTCGTTTTGGTTGTCTGCTGGGCTGGTCCTTATCTTTATGAGACAGAAGTGGAGTAAATTCAGAATGTTGGTTGATCAGTCCAAATCGGCTTTGATCATTTGAAAGAGGCTTGGGCGATGCGCCAGCCTGTGGGTCACTGACAGAAGAAGAAGCGAAGCAAAACTGAGCATAGTAAAAGTGATCAAAGTGACGACAGCAGAGCTGGTGGTTAAGAGTATGTTGTGCTAAAACAAGCTTCCTGATCCGCAGTGCCATTGGGAGAATTTATATTTATTGACGATGTTTTTCAGGCATGCCAACTAAACAAAATGTGCCGGCAACGGAGTATAGAGACGTCAGTTGAAAGGCGAATCAGAAGCATTGCTGGCAGTACTTATGTTTATTGAGGTAAGGCAATTATCAGATTAAGTATATGAATTGAGTCAACTAAGAACAAATTAGGTAAGCTGGATCAGAGATAACGCTGGGGCACATGTGGAAAACTAGAGGAAATAGCATGCGAGCTGTGATAGCTGGGATATATACCTGATAAGATATACAAAATAAGTATGGCATATCACTGAATAATTATCTATAAATGAGGCAAATAAATTGTTTGTAAAAAAAG